AGGGCAGGGGTGGAGGTGGGCCCTGTTCTGTGTTCTCTGTGCCTTTGCCTAGCTCATCCTTTTGTCCAGCTGAGAGCACACTCACAGTCCCTCTGCTCTCTCACCCAAACCCTCCTCCTCCTTCACAAATCAGCTCAACTCTCAGCAGGTCTATGAAGCCTGTGTACCTGCTCTAGGATTGTCCTCTGTCCCTGGCTCCACCCAGCCCATCTGAGTGTGGAGTGGCCACCTAGCTCCACACAGTGTGGACTGTGTTCTATGGACCCAGAACAAGGCTCAAGGCCTATCTCATCCAAGCTGCATAGCCCCTCAGCCTAGGTCCAACTGCTGGTTTCCCCACCTTTTAGGTATGGACCTATTTACCCCTGAGGCTGTAGGGGATGGATCTAGATGCCTGGATCCCAACTAGGTCATTCCCTCTGGACTGAACAGGAGACAGATACAGGGAGACACTCTAGAGAACAAAGTGCGACAAACAGTGGAGGAGGAGATGACTCACCATCCCCAACTGTGACCAACAGTGGGAAGTCTGAGCAATGGCCCAACAGAACACCAAAGCACCCTCTCTGCCTCCTCAGGAAAGAGAAGTCCCTTTGGGTGAGATGCTTTGACCCACGGTGTCAAATTGGAAATAAACTTCTTAGAAGCTTCTGGAAGCAAGAAAGATCCCCAGCAAAAGGAATAAAGCCATCTAGGTTATCAGTCTGACTGTCACAGCATAACATGCCTGTATTCAAGGAATACTTACTTATTCTACTTAATAATGGCTCCAGGAGCAAAAGTAGTGTTTTTGTTTTGGATGTGAAGTGTCCCCTAAAAGCTCACATGTAAGACAATGCAAGACTGTTCAGAGGGAAAATGACTGGGTTGGAAGAGTCTTAACCTGATCTGTGAATTAATCCCCTGATAGGGATTAACTGAGTGGTAACTGAAGGGGTAGGGTGTGGCTAGAGGAGGTGGGAATTAGGGCGTGGCTTTGATGTATATATTTGTATCTGGAGAGTGCAGTCTCTCTCTTTGCTTCCTGGTCACCATGATGTGACCTGCTTCCCTCTAACACCCTCTCCAGCCATGATGTTCAGCCTTACTTTGAATGGAGCCGGCCTTCTCTGGACTAAGATCTCTGAAACCACGAGCCCTCAAGTGAACTTTTCCTCCTTACAGTTGTTGTGATCAGATCCTTTTCATCACAGCAGCAAAATGGTTGACTAAACCAGGTAGTGATGCTGGCAAATCTACTACAGCATATTATCATAATCCTTCTATTTTATTATTAGTTGCTAACCTCTCACTTCGCCTAATTTACAAACTAAACTGTATCACAGGTCTGTTATGTATAGGACAGAACACTGTATGTAAGATTCAGTCCTATCTTTGATTTTAGGCATCCACTGGGAGTCTTGGAATGTACCCCAAGGATAAGAAGAAATGACCACATCCATTATTAAAATAAAGGGAACTCATCTGTCTCTTGACTTTGCACAGTCACCTCCCATTACCACATCAAGGGCACAGGGCAGCATCTTGTCTGCTGGGCCTACCTGACAGCGAGGATGTGCACCGGCTGGGAGCGCTGCACTTTCTGCCTCGGGGACGCCTGTGGCTGGGCAGGCTTTGAGGCCGAGGCTGGTGGCTGGCTGCGGGCATGCTGCCCATTCTGCAGGAGAGGCACCGTATCGGACTGCATGTTGCAAGCTGAGTAAAGGCTCTCCAGAGATGCGTTCATATCACTCACCAGCACTTCCAGGTCCACATCATCCTCTGTACATGAAAAGGCAAGAACAGAATGAAATGTTAGTGGCAGCAAGGTTTCATACCCAAATGTGCATTTTTTGGTGACTGGTCACCAAAGTCAACAATATTTTTAAAATATTACATAAGGATTCATAAATATCTTCAAGTAACCAAACATATTGCATTAATAATTATTGATACATAGAGCCATAATTCAATCGCACCTCCACATGTCTTTACAGGGAGTACCAGGTGGAGCCCCTGAATAGCTCAATACCCTCCTTCTACACCTCTTTCCTTCCTCCCCACTGTCACTGGAGTGGGCTGTGCATAGCCAAGGTTATATAACAAGACCCCACTGTCCTAGTCTTTGCTGGCAGGATCCCAAGTGGACAGTGAGCCCTAAGGCCAGACTCTTCTTCCTTCCTTGAAATTCCAGAAGTACAACAAAGACAAGAACAGAGTGGCACCAAACCTTGACACCAGTCCCAGTCCAACAAAACTAAAAGGTGGAGAGACAGTGGCATAGAAGTCACTGTGCAGCTACTGCTAAAACACGTGCCTATAGACTTCTAGGCACCACCCTCCACCCCTTGAGTGGCCTGAAGTCTGAGGAAGCCCATTGTGACAGTGGAGGGCATGAATCACACACAGACAGAAGGCACGATGGTATGGAGGGCAAGCCAAAGAGAATGACAGGAAACACAGAGAAAGGTATGAGTGAGCACACAAGGGCTGTGATGGTTAACTGTGTGTGTCAACTGGCTGAGCCATGGTATTCCAGCTTAACATCCAAATAGAAGTTTTCCTTTTAACAACCAAATAGAAGTTGTGCTGAAGGTGTTACTTAGATTAATATTTAAATCAGTGGACATGGAGCAGGCAGACTGCCTTTGCCTTATCCAATCAGGCAAAGGCCAAAAAGAAGAGGACTGACTTCCTGGGGGGAAGGTGCAATTCTATCTCTAGACTTGACACACGGTTCTTTCCTGAGTCCCCAGCCTACTGCCTACCCTGTGCATTTTGGACTTGCCAGCCTCCACAATCATTTGACTTCAGTGTGCATCTCTCTACATACATCTTATGGGTTCTTACTGATTCTGTCTCTAGAAAACCCTGACTGCACAGAGACATAGGGATGTAACAGTACACAGAGATGGAGGAGAGTGGGGATGGGAAAAGAGACAAGGAACCAGGACTGGGTCACATAGCCAGCCCAGGGAAGACACATAAAACATTCTCCCACCTCTATAATAATTGTATTTTCATGTGTTTAAGCTATTTTGAGCTTGTTTTTTATCTGTCACCAATGTTTCCTAATAAAACTGACCCATTCTTTTATTTTTTGCATTTTCAGGTTTGCCCCTTTTTAATAAAAACCAAACAAATAATCACCTAGGCTCACTGTAATGCAGAACTTTGAAACTAACATAATTCACCATCTTATTTGCTCTCAAAATAATCTCAAGTGACATTCACCCCACACATAAGACTTAAGAATCACAGAAATCAAGACCCTCATGCTACTAAAGGCTACATACAGGCTTCTAATAGGGAGGAAGGAACACAGAGACATTTGCAAACTTGGACACTGCAAACTTGCTTATTCTGGCCCTGCTCCTACTGCCTTGAGGCCCAGGGCGAGAGACTCAGCTTTCTATTCTTGGCGTCTTCAAATCTAACATGGGGTGAGCAATAGTAGTCACACCTTTGGGGGAGGGGGAGGATTACGCTTTACATAGTGCCTGGCATGGAGTAAACAGTAAGATGCTATTTATTAGCTCTATTTCATCTATTCCTTACAAAATAATATAAAGCGGTCACGACTAACTAGTTTAACAGCTCAACGTATAGGTCTGGAGGACTTAGGTCGCACAAGCAGTGTCTATAGAACCTAGAATTTGAAAACAAATTTAGCTACTCATTTGACCTCACCAGGTGTGTGCACAACAGATGAGCACACAGCTCTTCCTGGAACACTTGGCTCTTCCTGCCTCTCCGGTTCCCTACACAAAAGCCTCGAATGACAGCTGGGGAGTGGAGCTTAGTGGTAAAGCACTTGCCTAGCACGCTCAAGGCATGGGGCTTGATCCTAGTACTAAAAAAAAAAAAAACGTCTCAGAGGGTCTTTGCTTTGGCTTCCCTTATGTCAAGACTAAAGGGCATAACAGAACAAAATCACTTCAAAACCCAGCCTAAAGAAGGCCTGGCAGCCAAAATGGTACAGAGAATGGGAGAGAATAGAACAGGGTTGCCTAATGGTTAGCATCTGGGCATCTGTGGTCAGCAGGACAAGGGGTAAAGCAATGTACAGTTACAGGAAACCTTGGGCAGAAGAAGAAGGGCCATGGAATCCTCCATGTGCTCCTTACCCTCCAAGCAATGGTACCCAAAGAGGGTCTCTGATGAGGCAGGTCATGCTCAAGGTCATGAGGAAGACAGACAGACATCAGGGGACTAAAATAGCAGCAATAAGACCATGATGTCTGATGTGCCCAGTCCCAGCTGGAATGAAGAATGGAAGCCATGTGGGAGAGATGCTGGGGTTGTTGAGTAAATAGGAACTGGGAAAGAATGGGGATCATTCTGAGAAAGGTGCAGACATCAAGTTGGACCTCAAAACTTGGACTGCCCTGAAGGTCCAGGGTTTGTGTGGGGAGAAAGAAGAAGAGAGGACGAGAATGCTGCTATAGTTCAGGTTATAAGCAGTCAAATATTAATCCTGTGGCCAGATATTAAAAGGACAAAAGTGCTGAATCAATAACTAATGGTCACCATATAATTAATAATTAATATATCACAAGGGAGAACTCTCAGGGTCAGCAGGCAGAACTCCTATTTATAGTTGGGGGTAGGGGAAGACAGTGGGAAAAAGTTGGTTGACAGAAAACCAGAACCTGTGGGAGCTAGTGTATACATGCCTGTAGTTTCTGCTGTCTGCTGACGCTGTGTGGCCTAGGAGAAATCCTCCTCTGTACAGCATCAGGGCAACACTTGGCAAAGACACAAATGTCGGGAAGTAGCTGTCCAGAGACAGCCAACTGCTAATGAAAAGACTTCAGTTCTATATTTATTAGGACCTCAGAGAACTCATTGTGAAGAAAAGTGTAAGTTACACTAGAGCTCACAAACATGGGGCTTTGGGAAAGTTCTAGAATACATGCATCATGAATGCCACTCACCTACACTCACCGCATTTAGCTGATGTGGTAATAGTGGGTTAATCTAAGGTCTGTAAAACAATTAAGGTCACACGCTGCTCTTAACTCACCATATTAACTGCTCAATATTTCCACCTTAATGGACCATTTAAGAATCAATACTGGGTGGAACACAAAGTTCACTGTAATTATGGAGTCAGTCTTGGGGAATGCACCAGGGGGGCCTCATCACCTGCACACGCAGACTGAGGGAGCTCTCTGCCAATCCAGTGGCACTTCATGGAGGGATGTTTTTTAAGTATTTAAAGACGGGAGGAACCCTGGCAGAATACAAAGGCCCCTGTTTTCACCGCTCACATCCTGCTTTAGAAATCAAACGGTAATACAGTTCTTACTCTCAGACAGGTCTCGTCTGAGAAAATAAAATGTCTCGATTCCTGCTGGCATATTTTCAGCTGCAGTTATTTTTCCCCCCTGGGTATTTCTGACAGCCCTTGGCAGTGCCCACCCCCAGTGACAGTCCCTAGTGTCTCTGGTCTTTTTGCTCCTGTTACTTCTCAGTCAACCAAATAATTCCTGGGTTACACCTCTGTAGTCAAGTCAAATGCAAAACAATTTTGACATTATTTACAGTAAATATATGGTAAACAGATGTCAAAACAGAAAGGTAACACATGTCCTCAGAATATTTTTACTCTCTTCCGAAGTAGGTTATTTACAACTAATTTCTACTTCAGTACATTTGGGTTTCTTTAAACACACAGCCAGGTTAATCTGGTAACATTCACTTAGTTAAGATTTTCACAAATTGAATATATATATATATATATATATATATATATATATATATATATACACTTCAAACCTGTAAACATTCTACAGCTTTTAGAGCAAAAACAAAGCTTTTTAAAGAATCTGAAATGCCCTCCTGTAAAATAAACTTTAAAATGTCCTGCAGGGTCAGTTAGCATTTTATCTGTTTTGATAATAAAATGACTATAGTTATCTGACTTTAGGCAAACTTCCTTAAATTCTAAAGTGAAACAAAATGAAATCTTTCTAACACTACTTCATATTTTACAGCAAGTTTTTAAAACTCTTAGTGTAGACTAGGATGTTACTGAAATCACATTTAGTTCTTATAAACATTCCATATGGCTTGTGTTCCATCAGCTCATCCATCTCAGTGAGAATCCTGTATGTCTCTTCCATACATGTAGCCAACTTCTACATTCTTTTCTAGTCCTATGAATCCAAGTAGATCAATAATCACCCATTTGTGAAAGGCTTTCTGCCAGGTAACAGAAGTGGGAACATCAGAAAAACTGATGCTTCTGGAAATGAATGTTCAGATTAAGTATCTATTCAATGCTAACGTGGTACAAAAATATTTTCCATGAGCTTATCTTTCTGGAAGGAATACTAGAAGTGAAAGGGAAAATGATTTTATATATAAAATGCTACTTCATATGAATTTGTGAGAATGTATTTACTGCACAAATATAGCCAAAAAACATGGCTGTTAGGTTATTAATAGTTACTTTCCTTCCTTAAATAACCCAGTCCAAAACTGGGCATGTACTTTGTCCCAAATATTTGAGTAGCTCATCTTAACTCAAATTCACATCTCGTCTCTGTCACTGTCATTAGCAAACTGAGGATAGTTTAAGTTCTAAAATAAATTCAGGGAAACAAATTTGCATTTGGCTTTATAAACCATTATGAGTGAATGTTTTCCACAAACCAAGAGAGACATGCTGACCAGGAAATGGCAAAGAGGAGAAAGATGGTGTTAGCAGAGGAGGATTTAACTTCCTACACCACCTTACCTCCTTAATGAATAATGCACTTCTTAGTTTACAGCACCAT